TACTACTACTACTACTACTACGACTACTACGACTACTACTACTACTACTACTACTACTACTACTACTACTACTACTACTACTACTACTACTACTACTACTACTACTACTACTACTACTACTACTACTACTATGACGACGACGACGACGACGACGACGACGACGACTACTACTACTACTACTACTACTGCTGCTGCTCATCCTCCGCCTTCGCCTCCTTCCTCCGCCTCCCACCTCCTCATCCTCCTCATCCTCCTGTTCACTCCTGACTCTTCTTAATGCCCCCTCCTCCTCAGCCTCCGCCCTCAACATCATCCCTCCACATGAACTTCCTCCTCCTGCCTCCCATCCCCACCTTATGCTCCTCCATCCTCCACGTCCTCCTCTCCTCTGACGCACCTTCGTTCCATTCCAAGCAAAGCGGACATGCAGGCCGACGCTGCCGTTCGATCGCAGAGGTGCGCGCCGCGAACTCAGCGCGCAAGAGGGCAGTTCTTTGAAATTGCAGTGTCAGCAAGCCCCCCCCCTTCGCGATGACTACCATCTGACTCTGCACAATGGCAATGTTGAATTGCAGACCCATGAAAAAATCTATGATGGGATATGCCTTCACATCAACACTGGCATGATAAACGCCAACGTACGCATCGTTAATTTCGTATAGTGATCACTTCTGATGTCCATTCCATCTCCAGACATCACCGCCATCCAAATCCAGCATCTCGAAATGAACGATGAGTGTCGTTACAGCAGGCGGGCCTGTGATCATTGAAAACTCATAGAGAAGGCGCGCAACATTCTGGGAAGTCATTGCTCACACAAGCAATGGCACAACGAAATGGTACATAACCGATCACACCACAAACGATGTTCACTAGGACGACCGTGTGCTGTCACACGACATGAACATAATAAAGGCGGATGCCAGTTACCTGTTTTAATAATTCCAGCCGGCGGACTGCGACTGCAGAGGGCACGCGGCGAAATTCCGAACTGCCCCTGCAAGTCGAACGCAGCATGTGTTGCGGCGGTAGGCTGGGCAACCGAAGAAAGATTGAGTTAAGCACATGTCGCTGACAAGGCGGCAACTTGGTGGAACAAGCCGCACAATGATCTGGACAGCTGACGTCTCCTGCATGCGGAGCTTCAAAAAGTTGGATTGAAACATCGCTGAGAGCGACTAATGACAGAATGCGCCAGCATGCATCAAAAACTTCTATTGCACGCAACGGCCCCTGAAATCTTTGCCCCCGCGCCCCACCATTCAAAAATACCAGCCTGGAACATATCCCTATCCCTATCCCTATGCTGGGCACCGCCTCATCACGATGCCGATGATCATAGGGATTCCCTCCGTTTCTGAGGGCGCGTCCCTGAGATTGTCATCGCCTCTTGGCACGTGGGATAGGTGTAAGTTCGAGGCTGGTGACAACATGCACTACTTCTCGTTCACGGCGCCCTCCCATGGCACCTCCAGACCCAGGCGAGAGGGCAGCAGCAGAGAAGGGATCGCAGACCGTGGCGCCCGCACCCTCGGCTGCCTTGAAAAAACGCCCGCTCCCGCGATGCACCCGTCGTGCCAGCATGCCCCGGATGCCCTCCCACGGTGTGCCCACGGCCTACTGCCAGTCCCAACACACCTCCGCCCCTCCCCCCTTACCTGGGGGAACAAAAACTGGCATAAACATAAAAACTCGGGGGTCCGCGCGGATTTCTCGGATCGGCGCTAGACCCCCCTCCCTGGCGCGCGGAGCGCGCCAGTGGCGGCGCCGGAGGGGCCGCCAGGGGGCCCCTGCGCCGATCCGAGAAATCCGCGCGGACCTCCGAGTTTTTATGTTTATGCCACTTTTTGTTCCCCTATTACCAGCCTGGAAAATATCCCTATCCCTATGTTCGGCATAGCCTCATCACCATGGCGATCTCAGGGATCCCCTCAGTTTCTGAGGGTGCATCCCCAAGATTGTCATCGCCTTGTGGCGTGTCCATCTCAGGGATAGGGATCAGTTCGAGGCTGGTGACCCCCGTCACTGAGGCGACGATATCTTGCCTCATTGGCTGGCCAGCATCATGAGGATCAGCTTGGGCAGACGAGTGCCGCAGAGGCAGCAGAAATTCGACGCCGTGGGCTGCGGGCCTCCGCACGACTGACAATACTAGAAGAAGAAACAACCACACATACATAAACTTTTGGCGCTCCGCGCGGATTTCTTGTATCCGCGCTGGACCCCCCTCCCTGGCGCGCGGAGCGCGCCAGAGGCGGCGCCAGAAGCGCTGCCAGGGGGGGGGCCCAGGCGCGGATCCGAGAAATCCGCGCAGAGCGCCAAAAGTTTTTATGTTTGTGGGTTGTTTCTTCTTCGCAATACCTCGCGTGCTTGGCCACGCAGTGCACGCTCCTGCCGAGCATCCGTGGGCCAGCCCTTCCCTGTGAGGCCGCAGGCGCTGCGCTCGCCCGCGTGCCCAGCGGCCTCGCCGGCTCTGCTGCCGGTGCCACGGTCACCACGTCATGGACCTGCTGGCTGCATTCGCGCATCTTCTGGCCATGGAACGCGGCCACGATGAAGAGGCCCAGGGACACACAAATAAATACACACAAATCCCAGGATTCCCCCTTTTTTCGCATATTTCTCTGGTTTTCGTCTTCCCCCCACTTCCCACGATTGCCCATATTTTCTTAGGGATCGGCGATTAATTGTGTCTGTATGTTTTTTCCCCTCCTGAGACCTGCTGGCTGGATTCGCGCATCTTCTGATGGGCCTGTTTTCCGCAACCACCACCGCAAAGTGGAGGGGGAGGGGGTCCTCCTCCTCCTCCTCCTCCTCGTCCTCCTCCTCGTCGTCCTCCACCTCCTTCCCCCCTCCCGCTGATGTTGGTGGAAAACAGGCCCATCCTCTTCCGGCCATGGAACGCGGCCACGAAGGCGTTCCTCGCGAAGACGGTGTGGAAGCGGATGAGGCACCGGAGACGCGAGCCGTGGCGGGCCGCCTGGAGCCGCAGCGCGCCGAAGTCGGGGCCCCTGCGAAACCCGGCGTCCCGGAGCTCCTCTTTGGACGCCCGAGATGGGCACAGGGCAGTGTTTAATACATAGGATGTTTAAAAATATAGGATGTTGAATCCATTATTAGTTTATGAATACATCTATGCATGAACCCATCGTTGTTTTTAGTACTAAATCCCTGCATTTTTAGTACATGATCCGCACGCGGAACATGTATTAAAAGCGGCACTGTACAATGCCCAACAACAGATGTTGTCCCAAACCAACAGCGGCCGCTGTTGGGCAGGCGGCCTTCTGTCTCGAGTGGGCACAGGCCGCGGCGGCGGGGACAGCGACAGGAACTGCTGTTGGGCGTTGTACCCATTCTTTCCGTACCCATGTCGGTCGTCCCGATCCTCGAGCCGCATCGCCGATACATTGACAATGCATCGGCCATGTATCGGCGATGCATCGGCGATGCACTGGCGACGCATCGTCGACGTCGGTGATGCCTCAGCGACGGCGACGTGCAGCAAATCGAGCTCCACACCGAGCCGCGTCGCCGATGCATCGGCGATGCGGCGCGATCCTCCGACCCCATCTGCTGCGACCCTAGGAGGCCTAGAGTAATCAGCCTCGAACGTATCCCTATCCCTAAGATGGGCGAGCAAAAAGCGAGGACAATCTTAGGGATAGGCCCTCAGAAACTGAGGGAATCCTTAAGATCGGCATCTCGAGGTGAGGTGATGTCAAACATAGGGATAGGGATATGTTACAAACTGGTAATAGAGCTCCTCGAGCAGCATCTGCTCCGAGTACACGCCCGGCAAGTTCCCCACGAGCACCTCCGTCTCCGCCGGCGTGGGCTGCGGCGCCCGCGGGCCGCGGCGCAGCGCCGCGCGGGGCAGCGGGCCGCCCGCACCCCGGTCGCGAGCCGCCGCCGCGAGCCACCGCCTGCTTCGGATCGGCTCTCTCCTCCTCCTTCTGATCCTCATCCTCTTCCTCCTCCTCTTCCTCCTGCTGCTCCTCCTCCTCCTCCTCCTCCTCCCCCTCCTCGGATCGGATCTCTCCTCCTGCTCCTCCTCCTCCTCCTCCTCCTCTTCCTCCTCCTCCTCCTCCTCCTCCTGGTCCTCCTCCTTCTTCCTGATCCTCCTCCTCCTCCTCCTCGATCCTCCTCCTCCTCCTCCTCCTCCTCCTCCTCCTCCTCCTCCTCACCGGCGAGGACCGCAGCGGCCGGGGTTCGTGCCTTGGGGCGGGCAGCCCCGGGGCAGGGCGCGGGGCGCCGCTGCTGCACGTGCCTGGCGAGGAGCCGCGGGCGCTGGTCGTCGGCGTGTCCTCGGCCCCGCACGCGCCGCCCGGCCCCTGCGCCTCTGGGAAGCGCGCCGCGCCCACCAGAGACCCAACGCATCGAAAAAATCAAGACGGGCGTGTTTCGCCATTTTCGGCTTCTGGGGGCCCTCACCGGGCCCCGGGTCCGTCAAAAAAAACGACGCGGGATGCAACACTGGTGCATGGGGAAGGGGTGGACCCTTCCGGGGACCCCGTCTTGAAATAATCACGACATCGGCTCTCAGGGCCTCCGCGCGGGCCTGCGAGAACGCGGTCAAATGGCGGCCCATGGTGTTCGACTTCGCCGGCCCAGCCTCGAAGCGGTCGCCCGGCTCGTCCGCCTCCGGGAAGCGCGCCGCGCCCTCCGCGCGGGCCTGCGAGAGCGCGGTCAGCTGGCGGCCCATGGTGTTCACCTTCGCCCAGGGCTGGACCTGAACGCTGCTTTTCGTCATGTGTTCGTTCTCCGCTTCGTGCTGCTCTGCCCGTTGTCCTGTACCTCCCTGCCAAAACGAAAAGCATAATACAGCCGAAATCCAACAAAACAGCGTTTAGGCTTAGGTCGGGCATGTCCCCCATACAGGCGGATTTGGGGCAACAAATTCAAAATACTCAAACAAAAGAATACCCCATAATAGTCAAACAGTATGTAAAAAAAGTCCCCTGACTATGTTTGGACTATGCTTGAACATTCCTCCTGTAAAGGGACAGGTCCAACTTAAAACTGAAACAAAAAAACAGCCAATGTCCAACAGAACAGCGCTCCGGTTCAGCCCTGCGGTCGCCGGCCCCGCCTCGAAGCGGTCGTCCAATTCGCCCGCCTCCGGGAAGAAGGCGGCGCCCTCCGCGCTCGTCTGGTGATGGGCCTGTTTTCCACCACCACCACCATAAGTTGAAGGGAGAGGGGGTCCTCCTCCTCCTCCTCCTTCTTCTCCACCTCCTCCTCCTCCGCCACCTCCTCCTCCTCCTCCTCATCCTCCTCCTCCTCCTCCTCCTCCTCGTCCTCCTCCTCGTCCTCCTCCTCGTCGTCGTCCTCCTCCTCCTCCTCCTCCTCCTCCTCCTCCTCCTCCTCCTCCTCCTCCTCCTCCTCCTTCCCCCCGTCCAACTTACGGTAGTGGTGGAAGACAGGCCCATCATCTGGGGGTAGGCGGCCAGCTGGCGGCTCAGGGTGCTCACCTTCATCGGCTCGAGAAGCTGCCGCTCCATCCACGCCGTGGCCGCACTCATGGCGCTGCGGGTGTGGCGGGCGCGGGCCTGGCACCTTGGCGGTCGCTCGAAGGCGGGTGTTCTCTGAGAACCTGGCCCTTGCTGCTAATTGATCCGAAATGGCTACGGACGCGCGAGAGGACATTCTTGTCGGGTCGGGAGCCGCTCGTCTGAAAATCGCTCAACCCAGGCAAGCCGGTGGGGAACACCGTGGACCTCGTGTGGTTGTCCCGTCATGGTCTGCCAGTGTCGTGCCACTGTCCTGCCATGTGAATCCTGTCGTTGCCACGTCGCGACCTGCCCTGCTTCTCAATCGTCCACCACACGGACCCAAGATGCCGCCAAACAGCCGCGCGCGCGCACTCAGCGAAACGGCAGCGCAGCGAGAAGGCTGGCTGCACACAAGCACGGCCGGCGCGATCTGCAGGCGATGCTCGCGCCTCGCGCTGCGCGACGCACGAGGCGCGGATCGCCTCGCGCTCTCGCGCCGCCCCCCCCCCAGGGGATGGGAGGAGGAGGAGGAGGAGGAGGAGGACGAGGAGGAGGAGGAGGAGGAGACGTCTCGCGCCCTCCGATCCAAGACGGCCCCCAAACCGCCAGCAGGCCTCCGAGAGGTCCCCCAAAGCCCCAGGAGACCCGACCCGCAAGAGGCCCAAATCGAGCCCCAAGAGACCCCCGAGAAGCCCCCAAGCGTCCCCTGGAAGGCCCCAAGGCAGTCGCACGACCGCATCCCATAGGCTTTCGAACAGCCTTTCGGGAAACTCCCACACGCATCCATGGGGCCTCTTACCTGCAGCCCAGGCGAAGTGGCGGGATCGAAGACCACTAGACATACAGTGGAGGCCCATGCCAAGAAACACCCTGCCTCCAGGGTGCCCTGGTCCTTCCTATGCAAAGCGTGAGGTTCCCACACCAACACTCAATCGACGTCCTGGGGTCTCAGGGCTGGGTTTCTTGTGGAAGGTGCCTTGTGGCCTGGCCTCCACTGCAACAACAACCACAGCCTGCCAGGTGGAGGGGAGAAAAAAAAAAATAACCCTAATGCCTCGACCACTTCGTTCCTTGCGACCCAAAAGGGGGTCCAGCTGACCGCGGGTGGTGCAATAGATGTGGGGGGCAATTGTAGTGCACATGTATTGCGCCCGAGAATTGTATTGCATTGTATTGCAACGACTGTATTGCACACGACAACCCAACACTACATCTGCGCGCTGGAATGTATTGCACGCCCCAAATTTATTGCGACCCCACAGATCTATTGCACCAAATCTATTGCACCACCCCCTCGTCGCTTGACCCCCTGTTGGGACAACCCGAATGTTGCGCTGCTGCTGCTTCTCCTCGTGCTCGCCCTTTTTCGCGGCCGGATGGCGGCCGTGGTGGTGGATGCCTCCCCTTAGTGAAAACGGCCCGGGACCGAAACCGACGGACCTGGACCCGCAAAAATGACGGCCGCGACGCCCTCTCGCGAACCGAAAACGGCCAATTCGCTAATCGACGTGTCAGGATAGGAGGTCTGTCCACCCCCGAATCCTGAGAGCCATTCTCTGACCGCCTCCGGGAGGCGAGGGCGAGGGCCCTCCTCGAGGCGGAGAGCGAGCCAACAAACACCTCAGCCCACCACCCCTTCACGACGCGAGGGGGGTCTGACTGCCTGCCAGACCACCCCAACCCAACCCGAAGACCCGAATCTGACCCAATTTCGGGTTGGGGCGGGGGATAAGGGTTCAGGACACTCTGGGCCCATCCTATCGTTTTCCGAACGGAATCGGCTCTGCGATGTGGGCGCCATGAGAACGATACTCTGGGTTTCTTAATAAGCGTGGGGGGACCCCCCCGACGTGGGTCAACCTCGGACATGTGGGCAAGTATCATTACCATTACCTCTTGATCGGCCGACGCTGTCGTCGTCGTCGTCACCGCCGCCGCCACCGTCAGCATCCATGATAACTCTGACCCCCCACCGCCGCCGTTGTCGTCGTTCCCCATTCAGGGTCGGCGGCACTGGCCGAAAGGCCTTCGCAATCTAGGCACGTATCATATCATTACAACTACAGTCATGCCGTATCAGAATGATGCGCGGCAAGGATGCAGGGGCCTTGGAGGCCCAAGTGAACGTTTTTCGAACGAGGTCGCCAGCCAAAGTGGCCAATGATGAGCCGAAGGGGCAAATATACCCTTAGGGAAGGTCGCCCATCATTCTTATGCGGGTTGACTGTACCTCCTGCTCCTTCGAATCGAGCCCAAGAACTCTGCGGGGATGCGCTATGGTTGGAACCTCGCAGGGAAACAGCCCGACCGCGGCCGCCAGGGGCGCAGGGGAAAAAACAATACACAAACGCCCTGAAACACGTCAATGCTCGAGCCTTGATTCTCGAACCCGCGTCGGCGGCGGCAAATCCTCCAACCTCGGACCCTCGAGACTCGATCCTCGAGCCTCCCCAGGGATCTGACGCTGCGAAGAGACTGCAGCGTCGCGAGAACTCCTCCTCATCCTCCTCGATCCTCCTATACTACTACTACTACTACTACTACTACTACTACTACTACTACTACTACTACTACTACTACTACTGCTACTACTACTACTACGACTACGACCTAACGAACTACAACTACGACTACGAACTACCGACTACGACTACGACTACGACTACTACTACTACTAACTACTACTACTACTACTATTACTACTACTACTACTACTACTACTACTACTACTACCACTACGACGACGACGACGACTACAACTACTACTACTACTACTACTACTACTACCACTACTACTACTACTACTACTACTACTACTACTACTACTACTACTACTACTATTACTACTACTACTACTACTACTACTACTACTACTACTACTACTACTACAACGACTACACTACCACTACTACTAGTACTACTACTATTACTACTACTACTATTACGACTACGACTACGACTACGACTACTACTACGGAAATACGACACCGACTACGGGACTACGAATACGCTACTAACTGTACTTACTACTGCTACTGCTATACTACTACTACTACTACTCTACTAACTTTAACTACGACTACGAACTACGACTACGACGACTACTATACTCTACTCGCTTTAATACTACGACTACGATACTATACTACTACTAATAATACTAATTACTACTCCTACTACTACTATACTACTTTCTTAATTTACTACGACTACTACTACTACTACTACTACTACTAAACTATTTTACTACGACAGACTACTACACTATACTACGTCCTACGACTACTTCTACTACTACTACTACTACTACTACTACTACTACTACTACTACTATTACTACGACCACGACTACTACTACTACTACTACTCCTACTACTACTCCTACTACTACTACTCCTACTACTACTACTACTCCTACTACTCCTACTACTACTACTACTACTATTGCCACTACTACTACTACTACGACTACGACTACGAATACGACACCGACTACGACTACGACTACTACTACTACTACTGCTACTGCTACTACTACTACTACTACTACTACTACTACGACTACGACTACGACTACGACTACTACTACTACTACTACTACTACTACTACTACTACTACTACTACTACTACTACTCCGACTACGACTACGACTACGACTACGACTACGACTACGACTACTACTAAGACTACTACTACTACTACTACTACTACTACTACTACTACTACTACTACTACTACTACTACTACTACTACTACTACTACTACTACTACTACTACTACTACTACTACTACTACTACTACTACTACTACTACTACTACTACTACTACTACTACTACTACTACTACTACTACTACTACTACTACTACTACTACTACTACTACTACTACTACTACTACTACTACTACTACTACTACTACTACTACTACTACTACTACTACTACTACTACTATGACGACGACGACGACGACGACGACGACGACGACTACTACTACTACTACTACTACTGCTGCTGCTCATCCTCCGCCTTCGCCTCCTTCCTCCGCCTCCCACCTCCTCATCCTCCTCATCCTCCTGTTCACTCCTGACTCTTCTTAATGCCCCCTCCTCCTCAGCCTCCGCCCTCAACATCATCCCTCCACATGAACTTCCTCCTCCTGCCTCCCATCCCCACCTTATGCTCCTCCATCCTCCACGTCCTCCTCTCCTCTGACGCACCTTCGTTCCATTCCAAGCAAAGCGGACATGCAGGCCGACGCTGCCGTTCGATCGCAGAGGTGCGCGCCGCGAACTCAGCGCGCAAGAGGGCAGTTCTTTGAAATTGCAGTGTCAGCAAGCCCCCCCCCTTCGCGATGACTACCATCTGACTCTGCACAATGGCAATGTTGAATTGCAGACCCATGAAAAAATCTATGATGGGATATGCCTTCACATCAACACTGGCATGATAAACGCCAACGTACGCATCGTTAATTTCGTATAGTGATCACTTCTGATGTCCATTCCATCTCCAGACATCACCGCCATCCAAATCCAGCATCTCGAAATGAACGATGAGTGTCGTTACAGCAGGCGGGCCTGTGATCATTGAAAACTCATAGAGAAGGCGCGCAACATTCTGGGAAGTCATTGCTCACACAAGCAATGGCACAACGAAATGGTACATAACCGATCACACCACAAACGATGTTCACTAGGACGACCGTGTGCTGTCACACGACATGAACATAATAAAGGCGGATGCCAGTTACCTGTTTTAATAATTCCAGCCGGCGGACTGCGACTGCAGAGGGCACGCGGCGAAATTCCGAACTGCCCCTGCAAGTCGAACGCAGCATGTGTTGCGGCGGTAGGCTGGGCAACCGAAGAAAGATTGAGTTAAGCACATGTCGCTGACAAGGCGGCAACTTGGTGGAACAAGCCGCACAATGATCTGGACAGCTGACGTCTCCTGCATGCGGAGCTTCAAAAAGTTGGATTGAAACATCGCTGAGAGCGACTAATGACAGAATGCGCCAGCATGCATCAAAAACTTCTATTGCACGCAACGGCCCCTGAAATCTTTGCCCCCGCGCCCCACCATTCAAAAATACCAGCCTGGAACATATCCCTATCCCTATCCCTATGCTGGGCACCGCCTCATCACGATGCCGATGATCATAGGGATTCCCTCCGTTTCTGAGGGCGCGTCCCTGAGATTGTCATCGCCTCTTGGCACGTGGGATAGGTGTAAGTTCGAGGCTGGTGACAACATGCACTACTTCTCGTTCACGGCGCCCTCCCATGGCACCTCCAGACCCAGGCGAGAGGGCAGCAGCAGAGAAGGGATCGCAGACCGTGGCGCCCGCACCCTCGGCTGCCTTGAAAAAACGCCCGCTCCCGCGATGCACCCGTCGTGCCAGCATGCCCCGGATGCCCTCCCACGGTGTGCCCACGGCCTACTGCCAGTCCCAACACACCTCCGCCCCTCCCCCCTTACCTGGGGGAACAAAAACTGGCATAAACATAAAAACTCGGGGGTCCGCGCGGATTTCTCGGATCGGCGCTAGACCCCCCTCCCTGGCGCGCGGAGCGCGCCAGTGGCGGCGCCGGAGGGGCCGCCAGGGGGCCCCTGCGCCGATCCGAGAAATCCGCGCGGACCTCCGAGTTTTTATGTTTATGCCACTTTTTGTTCCCCTATTACCAGCCTGGAAAATATCCCTATCCCTATGTTCGGCATAGCCTCATCACCATGGCGATCTCAGGGATCCCCTCAGTTTCTGAGGGTGCATCCCCAAGATTGTCATCGCCTTGTGGCGTGTCCATCTCAGGGATAGGGATCAGTTCGAGGCTGGTGACCCCCGTCACTGAGGCGACGATATCTTGCCTCATTGGCTGGCCAGCATCATGAGGATCAGCTTGGGCAGACGAGTGCCGCAGAGGCAGCAGAAATTCGACGCCGTGGGCTGCGGGCCTCCGCACGACTGACAATACTAGAAGAAGAAACAACCACACATACATAAACTTTTGGCGCTCCGCGCGGATTTCTTGTATCCGCGCCGGACCCCCTCCCTGGCGCGCGGAGCGCGCCAGAGGCGGCGCCAGAAGCGCTGCCAGGGGGGGGGCCCAGGCGCGGATCCGAGAAATCCGCGCAGAGCGCCAAAAGTTTTTATGTTTGTGGGTTGTTTCTTCTTCGCAATACCTCGCGTGCTTGGCCACGCAGTGCACGCTCCTGCCGAGCATCCGTGGGCCAGCCCTTCCCTGTGAGGCCGCAGGCGCTGCGCTCGCCCGCGTGCCCAGCGGCCTCGCCGGCTCTGCTGCCGGTGCCACGGTCACCACGTCATGGACCTGCTGGCTGCATTCGCGCATCTTCTGGCCATGGAACGCGGCCACGATGAAGAGGCCCAGGGACACACAAATAAATACACACAAATCCCAGGATTCCCCCTTTTTTCGCATATTTCTCTGGTTTTCGTCTTCCCCCCACTTCCCACGATTGCCCATATTTTCTTAGGGATCGGCGATTAATTGTGTCTGTATGTTTTTTCCCCTCCTGAGACCTGCTGGCTGGATTCGCGCATCTTCTGATGGGCCTGTTTTCCGCAACCACCACCGCAAAGTGGAGGGGGAGGGGGTCCTCCTCCTCCTCCTCCTCCTCGTCCTCCTCCTCGTCGTCCTCCACCTCCTTCCCCCCTCCCGCTGATGTTGGTGGAAAACAGGCCCATCCTCTTCCGGCCATGGAACGCGGCCACGAAGGCGTTCCTCGCGAAGACGGTGTGGAAGCGGATGAGGCACCGGAGACGCGAGCCGTGGCGGGCCGCCTGGAGCCGCAGCGCGCCGAAGTCGGGGCCCCTGCGAAACCCGGCGTCCCGGAGCTCCTCTTTGGACGCCCGAGATGGGCACAGGGCAGTGTTTAATACATAGGATGTTTAAAAATATAGGATGTTGAATCCATTATTAGTTTATGAATACATCTATGCATGAACCCATCGTTGTTTTTAGTACTAAATCCCTGCATTTTTAGTACATGATCCGCACGCGGAACATGTATTAAAAGCGGCACTGTACAATGCCCAACAACAGATGTTGTCCCAAACCAACAGCGGCC